ATTCTGATGTTTGAAGACCAATAAAGATACCATCAATTGGAAGAGCAAGATACTTTGTGACATTTATTGATGACTTATCAAGAAAGGTGTCAATATATATGTCACGGACATACACATATAAGCCAATAATTACATGTATAAATAGGTAGAAGTAAGTTAATTCTATAGTATTTGGTATGGAAGCTTCTTAGAAGCTTTATAGACGTTGTTCTGACTTTATAGGTGTCTTTAATTGACTTTTTGGATTAGAAACGTGGTCAACAAGTTGGCCATGTGCCACACATATTGTTAGCTTGAAGTCCAAGCTAATTATGTAGCCTACACGTAGAAAAACTTGCCTTGTAAGTCAAGGCATGTGTCCTACAAAGTCAATACATATTGGAGGTCGTATAGAATGTCGCCACGTAGCTCCTAATTAGATAGTATATATAGAAACAAGAGTGAAGCCTTCTTCACTCTTATCAACTCCTTTCTTGCTTCCAGTCTAGTTTCAAGGGTCTCTAGCTTTCTTGTCTTTTGGCAATAGCCATTCCAGTTTCTTTTTTAATATATATATCAAATTATTTCTATTTTTTCATCTTTCTTTGAAAGAAGTCTCACTTGTTTATTTATCTTTATTATGTTCTTGTCGTTGAAAATACATCATTAAAGCCAAGAGTGAGTGTTTTTCAAAGTTTAAAGAATTCAAGGTACCTGTAGAGAAGCAATGTGAGGGTAAGATAAAAGTATTGCACACGAACAATGGAGGTGAATACATGTCAAAGCATTTTGATGAATTTTTGAGAAATCAAGGTATTGCAAGACAAACTTCTACTTCTTACACTCTACAAAAAAATGGAGTTTTTGAAAGAGCAAATCACACCATTGTGGACATGGCAAGCAGTATGCTTCATGCACAAAACCTTGGACATGAATATTAAGCAGAAGCTGTGGTCAAAGCAGTGTATACAAGGAATAGATGTCCAACAAGTGTATTCATATCAATGACTCTATAAGAAGCTTGGAGTGGCAAGAAACCTTGTGTTTCACACATGAAGATCTTTAGATGCATTACTTATGCAAAGAAACCAGATTGCATAAAGTCCAAACTTGATGCAAAAGGAACAAAATGTATATTTATTGGATGTTGTGAAGGTACCAAAGCATATAGGCTCATGTGTTTAGAAACCAAGAAAATCATGAAAAGTTGTGATGTAGAGTTTTTGGAGCACAAGAATGCTTATGAATATTTGAAGATGTGTCCAAGTGGGAGTAATGGTGTATTTGTGGATACATCTTTAAATCCAGCAATGAAAGAAGAAGAAAAAGATGATGATAATGAAAATAGTAGAATTTCAAATCAAGATGAAGAATCAAAAAATGTAGATCATGAGGTGCCTACAATTGTTAAAAGTAACGATGAAGACAATGAAGATGTTGAAGGTGATGATGGTGATGATGAGTACCAACTTTTAAGTATGAAGAGATAAGTTTTAAGAAAGAAAAAGATTGTAAGAGCTATTGGAGTGCATGAATGTGAATCTTCATCAAGTAAAAGGAGATATATTTTAAGAGATCGAAAACAACTTGGTGCATGGTGGAAGAACCACATCTTTCTTCAAGTAAGTGAAAAACATGTCAATGTTGCATTCTTTGCTGATCCATTGAATTTATGTGATGCAATGAAGTCCATAGATGCTATGAAGTGGGAGAATGCTATGGAAGAAGAGCACAAATTACTCATGGACAATGGAACATAGAAATTGACTCAACTTCTATCAAATTGATCTTCAATTGGTTGTAAGTGGGTGTTTAAAACCAAAAGGGATGCAATGGACAATGTTGTGAGATATAAGACTAGGTTGGTTGCCAAAAGATATTCACAAGTTGTAGGAGTTGATTTCAATGAAACATTTGCTTCCGTAGCCAAATTCACCACCATTAGAATCATTGTGGCAATTGGAGCAGCAATGGACTTAGAGATGCATTAAATGGATGTGAAGACGGCTTTCTTGAATGGAAAGTTGGAAGAAGATATCTACATGGATCAACCTCAAGGATTTGTTGAAGATGGCAAACAAGACCTTGTTTGTAAGTTGAAGAAATCTTTGTATGGGCTTAAGCAATCTCTAAGCACATGGTATCAATGTATTGATACATTCTTTGTGAATGAAGGGTTTATAAGGAGTGAAATTGATCATTCATTATATGTGATGCAATCAAATGAGTTCATATTGATTGTGATCGCCTATGTTGATGATTTGATCATCTCAACCAATACTATGAAGATGATGGATTGGTTGAAAGAAAAGTTAAAAAAAAGAGTATGAGATGATTGGTTTGAGAGAGCTTCACTATTGTTTAGAAGTGGAGTTTGTGAGAGATTATGCTAAAAAGACCATTACAATGAGCCAAAGTAAGTATATTGAAGAGGTATTAAAATGATTCAACATGGATGAGTATAAGCCTATAAGAACACCTTTGGAGGCCAATTTGAAGTTGATGAAGCTCACGAAAAAAGAGTTTGTTGAAGTTGAAGGACAAATGTAAGGTGTTCCATACAAAGCAGAAGTGGACTCACTAATGTATGCAATGATTGGCACAAGGGTGGATCTTGCAGATGCAATGAATATTGTGAGTCAACACATGTGAAAGGCTCGACCAATCCATTAGGTAACCATCAAAAGCATCATGAGGTACTCAAAAGGTACTTTGAACTTCAAATTATGTCTTGGAAGTAATAACATTACTATGCATGATTATTATAATGTGGATTGGGCTAGAGATGCAAATGATAGAAGGTCAACAATGGGATATGTATTCTTTGTTGGAGTGGGAATAATTTCATGGAATTGCAAAAGACAACCAACAATTGTAAGGTCAACAATAGAGGCGGAGTTTATGGTACTAAGCCATGGTGCAATGAAGGCAATGTAGCTAAGACAACTTTTGGAAGACATTGGAGATGTGCAAATGGAAGCAACTTCAATGAAGTGTGACAACCAAGGATGTCTTGCATTTGCAAAGAATCCAAAGCATCATTCAAGGACCAAGCACATTGACATTTAACATTACTTCATAAAACAGAAGATTGAAATGGGAGTCATTGATATGAAATATTGTGTAATAGAAGACATGCTTATTATTTTGTTGAAAAAGACATTAGTAAAGGATAGACACCACATGTTGACAAATACATTAGGAATGAAAGTCTTTTGACCAATAGCAAAGTGGGAGTGTTGAAGTAAAAATGAAAGAAGAATAAGTTACCTTACAGAGGATATTACCTTAGATAAGTTGCTAATGGTCAAAGGATTGACTCTTAGTGTATAGAAAGGGCATCCTATAGATATAGGACGATGTCAAGGACCAAGAGTCAAAGTCAAGAGGATAATGTATGAACTAGGAAATATCCAAAGACTAAGTAAGAGTAATTAGTATTTGGCATAGCATACCTTTGTGGTTAGTAAGATGCCAAAGGATCCAAGGACCATAGGATATCCTCAAGATATGTTAGATACCAAAGGATTCTAAGACCTAGGATCATGTGTGTAAAAGTCAAAGAGTGGAAGTTATCTTATAGGACAGCAATCATAACTTATAAGTATTGGATGTTGGAAGTGAGAGACATCTTACTCCATATTCTCTTTGTGTGCAACCTTGCTCATGCTATGTGTTGTGACTTCAAAGTTCTATTTCTTCAATAGGGTGGAAGGATTCCGCGGCGCTTTGGATTGCTCTGTATTTAAGGGTGTTGAGTTGTAGTCACAGCAGCAACTCAGGAATGATCCCCATCTTCCTTGAGTCGCATAGGAATGATCCCCATCTTCCTTGAGCGGGATACCACTGGATTCTCCCCTGTCACTGCCGCAAAGCTGCCTAGACTTGTGCAGGACATTACCCACAAAGCCTTCCTTGTCGAACACATCTCCCTTTTGTACAACGAAACGCTTCAAAGGAAGATTGCACCTCCCTCTCCTGTCCTGGCAATCTCTGTGTAACTGTGTAGCTGCCGCATCCTGCGGTCGCATTGCCTGAGCCATCTCCATTACCACGCAGTGCTATCGGATCCCCCTCGAAACTGGACATTTACGTGAAGGCAGTCTGATGGAGTGGAGCAACGTCCCTCCAGCAAAACGAGTATCACTGCAACTTGTGTGTTGCGATCTGTTGACCTCGCTGTGACTTCAGATGCGTGGGAATTTAGTCACTTTGAATCACAGAACTTTGCTCTGAGTCCCCCCCCCCCCAACTTATGATGTGTCTTTCGTGGACTATTCCATAGGAATTATCCTCCCCCTGATTCGTGCGTTGTATCCTTCTAATGATTACCCAATATGCAACTCAGGTAATATGTCGTTACGAGTTGAGAGTGGTCTCCGAATTACCACGGAGCACAGAGAAGGCATGATCCGGGAATGGTTCAACCACACTGCAAGAGCGTATTGGAATCTCTCCAGGTATACGTCAGAACCGCCCTGTGGGAGTTTCTACTAAATATGGATTGTGGAAGACAGTGGCTGGCGAAGGGGATGGAATGGTTTGCGCTAGGTTCTTCAGGTGTGCAACTGACTCTGAAACCTGCTCATGGAGTGAAAATAGGACCAACAGATCAGGTGGGTCCGGGCCAGCAGAGCTACGACGACGCAGTTTAGAAAGAGAACAGGTCCATGAGAAGCCCGACAGCAGCGCTCTACATATTTGTATTTATGTAAACATGTGAGACATCAATGAAAAACATGGTCGGTGTCACAATTTAGTCACAAAAATATTTTAGAAAAAACAAAAATTTGATTGTTCAGAGGTAAGCCTCCCCCATTTAATCACACAGCCACGTCATCTCTTTTTTCCCTCTTTTTAATTTCTAGTTCTCCGTCACTCTGAATTCACCTCTTGAAACCATTTATTAAATAGTGGCTCTCCCTGGATCTTCCAAGCAACGCTTTTCACAGGAGCACGGGTGATTTGCAACTAATGACAATCAATTACACGCAACGCAAACGCAACGCAGGCCACCAGTAGAAGTTACAGAAGCCTCGGGGAATGGCTGTTCCAATCATTGATCTTCGGTCAATGCACGACCAGGAAGACTTTTGTAACAAGCATCTCACTTTGTCTCCACTATCTGAGTTTGGAATGTGCTATAATCCTAGCGAATTTCTGCTGGTAGTGTGGATGTGAGAGTGAGAGCGTCCGAAGAAGATGGCAGGACGAGGAATGTACACAACACGGCACAGCGTAGAAGAAGGGATGAAAGAGGAGCCTCCCCACGTGCTCACATGGAGGATGTTGCCATCGTGACCTCGTTGTGGATTAACATTGGTGGAAGAAGTTGGAAAGGTGGCCGAGCGATATCAAACCCCTCTCAAAACTCCATCACATGTACATCACCTTTTGGTACATAATCAATCCACCCCCAACTGCAATTGTCCACCTCCAAGTTCCCCAAAGTGCAGAATTCCCGAGCTTTTCCTGTAGCCTACACGAACGAAACCTCGGCCCTGTGTAAACAGACACACGTGAGCGAATCACAGTGAAGGATAATTTACAACCCATTTGTGTTTGAGTACCGTTTTGGATAAATAAATTTTTCCTCCTCCGTTACCCGCGTCAGTCCATCCACAAAAAGTTCGCTGCGCCAGCTTCTTCTTCCTCTTCGCCTTCTTCTGTACTTGAAACCATGCGGACGTTGCTTCCGGCGTGAGCAAGATGTGTCAGTGTCAGTCACATTCCACTGGAGAGTTGTGCATCACCTCAGGCGTTCTGGTTTTGTGGATGAACCTGTGGTATTGTCTTCAAGCACCGCTTATTGCCATAGGATTCCTGTTTACCTTGCAAGAACGCCGCTCGCAAGAGGAGGAATATGCTGGTTGATGGTGGGACAACTTGGCCAAATTCTGCACAGGAATCAAGCTTGCAGAATTATGAGTATTCGAAGAAGGAAACTTCTGTGCAGAGAAACACAAAAAACTGCCTACCTTTCATTTATTACCTTTTTATTTATTGATCACTGATTGTGGTTACACTGCGTCACCTTCGTTACCATCTTCAAACTGGAATGGGCACACAAGAATTTTGGGGAACATGTGATGTTGAAGGCATCCTTTACGGGAAACAAGTGAAATAGATCGGAGCGGCGTTAAAAAGGACGCCAACCTAGCTTCGTTCCCTCTCTTCACCCGTGGGGTTTACATATTTGCGGTATCTCAACAACGAACCATTGATTGCCGCGTGTAGATCCTGATGTGGCATGCAATCAGAAACACAGAAATCACGCGGCAGGTGCCCAACGCCAACACACGGAAACAACCTCACAACACAATTCGTATAGTTCTGTGGATGCCGTGAAAGTGGGCAGTGGAGATGAGTCACTGCGAATCACAGATTGGAGGACAAAAGTAAATTCTGGGATTAGGACCATAAAATAGGATTATGTGATCACAAGCCTATTTCGACGAGAACCACAATTTTCACACCCAGCCAAATCACCGTCTAAATGATCGCTTCATTACAATATAGTCTCAAACCTCAAAACAAAACAGAAAAGACAAACTAAATGCAAAATAAACTCATTTTGGTTTGTTCGTCGCATAATTTGTGAAAAACCTCACGAGAGGATTTCATCATGAGAAAAAAATAAATGTGCATCTTTAAAGATGTCACTTCCTGTGAAATACAAGTCTTTTGACACAGCTGGATTTGAAATGTATATATATATATATATATATATATATATATGTGAATAATTTGAAATTTTGTGGCAAATTCTATGTGTGAAGGTTGTTGATTTTCCATGAAAAAATCACAGAGAATGAGCCTCTTCTAGGATTGTTATTCATATTTTACCAAGATAATTGTTAGCATGTCCACAAAGCTGGTCATAATACTTTCATACAAGGTATATATATATATATATATATATATATAGTAGACTCATTTTTTGGTTATTTGAATTAAAGTTACCTCCCATACATCCTAAAAAATTTAAGCCTAGTGGTTTACATCTATAACTTTAAAGGTTTGTATTAAGACCTATTGTTTTATTATACCTACATGCACAAAGTTGGGGACATATATCTATGTATATATTCACATTTTTGCATCTCAAAGCATACAACTGGGCATGAGTAATGAAAGCCTGAAATTTGCCACAAGAAATGGCAAGGAGATAACAGGATTGAGAAAAACCCAAGTCTAATTTTCTTTGCATTTAACAAAGAAGCAGTCAAATTAGATGGCTTGCTTTTAGTGAAGGGCGCCTTGGTTGGGGCTCAGGGTGCACAATAGTCATCTTTCCTCTCCCTCATTGGGGGAGGGGAGAAGGACGCCTCTTGATGAGGATCAACTCACAACAAGTTTCTTTCTTTCTTTTAAGAACATACTCGTGGCTCTTTATCTTCCCGCATTGTGGGAATCCTATCATTTAATGTTATGGATGGTTTCATTGTTTGTGTCCAATCTCAATGTGGTTGGATTGGCCTTCCTTGCTTTTCAGTCTGTGAAGTTGTGGTCCTCCAGAGCCTTCTCTCTGTCAGCACAATCATAGGCCAATCCACAAAAGCTGTTCCCACCTACCCAAGCTTGGGCCGTTTCTTCCGAAATGGAGATGGGATAAGATTTTGTTCCCACAGTATGATGCCCAGCTCCATTCACTCACTCACTCAGACACACACACAGCAAGAGTAGTTGATCACAGAACACAATGTACATGTTCAACTTTCTTTGTCTTTTGAAAGATTTTATCTCCCTTCTCTTTCTGGCCTTGGGGAGGCATGAACCCCATTCTGAACTTTTCTTCCAGTTGTTGTTTCCCCCCTTCCCTCCCTTTGCATTCCAAAGTCAAGTCGCACTTCCAGGAGGGTGACTCCACCATGGCGACCTTCTGACCTTCACGCAACGCGGTTCCAAGTGCCGCTTCCTCAATGGTGGAGCGGTGATAGAGGATCGTTCCCACGACCGGCCCCGCGCCTGAAGAGCCGCCCGCAGGAAAAGGGTTGTCAGGAGGGAGGGGCTCGCTTTCAGAGGGACAGGATTTTCCTGTAAGACCGTGGCCGCATGTATCTTGTGTGGCGGTTGGTGCATTTCACACGCCTAATAGCGCGGATTTAGGTGGAGAGGCCTGGAAATGCTTCCCTTTGGCCGTGGTTGGACAGCGTTCCTCGTTTGGGAGATTGTGCCCATACGCTCCCAATTCAATTCGCATCCAGAGTGTGTGTGAATTATGATTGGTTTTCCAGACATTTGACCCCATAAGAAGTATGCAACAGATATGACAGGATTGTCAAGGGTGAAGAGTAAGTTTAATGGACTGATGCGTTCTGTTTGAAAGAATTCTGAAATTCCAAAATTCACACTTACCACAAAAATTGTAACTATTGATTTTCCTCCCATCGATCATGGAAAGATTAATATTGAGTGGTGGAACTTTTATTTCAAAAAAATTTATACATAAAATTGGAAGTGTGTACTGTTAAGAATATATGTGCTTTATCTAAAATAATCTAAGTAAATCCAATTTAATTTATATATCAAAAATTAAATACACGCTGTATAGCATTTTCGGCTTTTATATAGATATTATTTGAAAATTTTAAAATAATGCTAAAATATTTAGAATTATCAAAGTATCCTAGTTGGATTTAGAAATCTTTGGACCTAGTAAATTGACTTTCAATCACACATACTTGTGGATCACTTGTGAAGAATTCATGACATATTTTGTCATATTTGGCAAGAAGCTATTTCAAGTTATTACCTCAATTGCCAATTTTGTGGTTTGCATATGGAGCTCACAATTAGATTAAGACTTCTTGTTTAATTGGAATAGCAAGTGGTCCCACCCCACATGTTAATATATAGAGGAAAAAATTGACACTCATATTGATATTCATTGTGCTTTATATCACCCACAAAAGCCAAAATCAATTCTTTGAAGTTTATGGAAATATCATCAAGCACATAATATTTAGAATTGAGCCACCTCTCTTTCATTCAAATTAACATTAAACTCTTGGAAATTAGGTCTTTAGAAATCCTTCACTTGGAAGTGAGTTATTTTTGCTATAACCTTACTCTTTCAATTTAAAAGTTTTTGGAAGATCTGGTTCTTGTTAAGGAGGCTTTGTCTATGGACTATTTGGATTTAGAGGAACATACATTTAAAAAAAAAATGAAGTATAGTGTAAACTCCAATCTAAAAGCCTAATTTAATCTAAACAACAAGGTCTAAATGAATATGGACAAATTTGTTGAAATTTTATCAAAAAAAATAGTGATAAAACATCCAAACACATGAGACTACATTAGTCAAGAGATGGGATAAATCATGGATAATAAAACACATACTAAGATCTAGAGATGACAAGTTAATTAAATGGGACTTTAGAGAATCTTAATGCAGTGTGATTTTACACAAATGTATAAATGAATTAGCTTTAGCAAATATTCTTTCTTGTTAATACTCTTAGCTCTCCCTTTGGGTATATAAAATCAAGTAGTTTGATGTACTTTTATCACCTCAATGATGCATTAGGTATTCCTTGGTTTTTGTTTAGAAAAAAAGAAACTAAAAAACACACTCTTTGGACTCATTTGGAAACACATAGTGAGTGCCATGAACTTGGTTCATCTTGCATCACACATGATGCCAGAAGCTACACTTTTAGCAAACTTCACACAAAGCAAAGGTTGTGGAAGACAAATGGGACCCAAAGAACAAAGAACTCAACTTCAGAACTCATGGGAGAGGGGGGTGAAAACAACAAATAAGCCAACAGATCCACTCCCATCCTATTTTCATGAATGTCATACATTGGTGCTGTGGGAATTTGGGTACTTTCCATGGATGGACAGTTGGTTCCAAGAAATAACATTCATCCATATCTGATTTGAAATATACTTCATTGAACAACTTCAAGGAAGTGATGTTGTGCTGTATTAGTCTTGCATCCCTTTGCTCAGTGCTTTGCAATCTTAAGATTCACTTTGACTTTGTTTTATGTTCCATATTTTCATTTTACTACCCTGGCCATTTGAAATGGTTGCAGTTAGAATGATTAGAGCATGGAACATTTTCAAGTATGCCAGTATTCTGGTAGCATTTGCAACTGTTAATTTTGCACAATTTTAAGTTTTTTGTTTGTATACTTATGATTTGGTTTTTTTGCTTAGGATTAGAAAGTATGGATTCTCATTTTTGTTGAAAGAAGGAGAATTTAGCTCTATTGTTGTCCATGGTACCAGAGCCGAATTTGTGATACATGAGCTGTCAATATAATGTCAATCAGTTAATTCACTTAATTATATATATTATGTACGCTTGCCCATAAACTTTAATAATTTTACTGACCATAATCATCAAGATTTTTTGAAATTGTAATTCATGATATAATTGCCAATAAAAAGATAAGAAGAGAAAAGAAAAGAAAAGAAAAAACAAAGCAAAGCGTATCACTCATAAAATTTAACATTTTGGATAAAGGATGAAACTGTGACATTGAGTCTTTCTGAATGACATGTATACAAATACATATACATGCACCAAATTCAATGAAAGAATGTACAATTAAATGACAACATTCCTGCTCCTGTTAGTTCAAACCTAAACATAGTAAACACGATGATTGACAATTACCAAATAAAATCTAAAATTGTGTTTTATATATGAATGATTACTACATCATTGATCTAGTGTTTGTAGCTTTCTGAACATAATAAGTATTTATTGTTATTTGAGGTTATGTTTCTATTTAAAACTTGAATTAACTTCTTTCACATAGGCTCTGGCAAACAAAACTTGGAGTGTCGAAAGGGGCCTCCTTTATCCAATCAAACAGGATTGATACAATAAGATTGGGTGATGTTCCTGTCATATACGTAACATGCATCAACCATGAGCCATTGAAAGTAATAGGATTGTTGTTACTCTCTAAAAAGATTGGTGACATTCCTTACCAGTGAAATTGGCCTACTAGTAAAATGTGGACAGACTTGTTGTGGAGGATCATATTCATTTCCCATATTCGACTAAAGAGATAACTATCCATATAGCGGTAATTTAGTTAATTGGAGATATACCCATTGTTTTTATTGAGAAGTTACCTAGTGTCAGCGCATAGGACGGCATGTGATTCGGGATTTGGAAGAGGTGCCTAATGTGCTGGGGGGGGGGGGGTGAACCGCGCGCGGGCGGGGGTGATACCTCCAAATGAGGATGTCGTCAACCTGATCTCCGCTTTCGTGAATTTCACGATGGAGTCTTGTATTCGGGGCATCTTTGAAGTCGGGGTTCGGCTTCAATGCTCACTTGGAAGTCGAATCTGAAGGGCATGTTCTACATGGCAACCTCCTCACTCCAGGCGTCTTCGCACAATGATTAACGACCTTTTCAAGCTTTATGACACAGCATGAATTGTTCCCGTGGGCTTCATTGGGACATTCTGTTCAATTTGGATGTTTGGTCAAAATCATCCGTCCATTTTGTGCAAAAAAAGCTAGATTCCGTGTTCTTCTAAAGCTGCACTCTGAATCCATGCATTCATAATATCAAATACATATTACGAAGTAATGAATTATACGACTTATCGATTTCTTGTTTCATTCATTTTACATAGCACCACATGATATCATCGCAACCCGGTGAAAACTTGTACTGCAATATTATTTATGGAATCATTCATGGTAATCAAAAGCATCCAGAATAATGAGTTGAATTGTGAGAACCTTGCTATTCGAGAGTAAAGCATTAAGTGTGACAAACTATTGTGTAATGGTACCAGAATCATAGTAAAAGCAGGAAAAAAAAAAAAAGAAAAAAAAAAGAAAAAAAAAGGGAAAAGGAATATTAACCGGAGAAGAGAGAAAAAAAAATTCTAATCCACTTCGATTTTAATTGGGAGTAGTAAAACCCTACCAAAACCCTAGAGAGGAATCAGGCTTATTAAAAAATAAAAATAAAAATAAAGAAAGGAAAACCGTAGTGACCCGGCAAAGCTAAAGGAAAACTAAAAAAGAAAAGAAAAGAAAAGAAAAGAGACAGAACAAGGAAAAAAGAAGAATGAGGTGACAATGGCACACACTCCTACAAGGAAACATACTCCACACGACACGCAAATTGCTGTGCACCACTTCGCCTCTTTTCAGCAATTCTTGTTTTCACCTACGTCATCCGCTTTTCATTATTCACCTCGTGAGCTCCCGCAGAGTGCGCAAGATCAGCTGCAGTGAAGAAGGGCACGGAGCTGAGGTGAAGCACATGGTTGGTGGTGGTGGGGGGGTGGGGAAGGGTCCGGTCAGCTGCCCGGCGGGCAGTGACCCCTGGTCGTCGTCCCCCAGGTGCGCTTTTTCTTTCCATGAGAGCTCATTCGTGACACTGGGCACCCCACCACTCCACAGCCACCCACTCTCCTGGCACCCAAACCCCGCCCACGACCCGCGCTGCCCCTCCCTCCATCCCCCCGTATACCCCGGGTATGGCTGCCGGCCGGGCAGATGGCAACGCGGGCTGACCGGGTGGCCCGTGCGACGTCGTGGTACTTGGGAAGGGATGTTGCTTTCGTCGTCTCTCCTGACGGACTCGTTTTCTGCTTCTTCGCTCCCCCTCTCTCGTCCCATGACTTGCATGCTGTGTGTGTCTGCGTTTGAGACTGGGCTTACCTTTCTCCATTCTCCTTTGGAACCTCTGGGCGTTGCTTCTCCAATTCGTTGGCGCCGGTGAGGTGTTGGTTGCGCGCGGGTTGGTGTACCAAGGTGCGGCTTCGATCGGGGCATTTGCGTCCCTGTGTTGGGCGTGCATCTTGCAATCGGTGGCGTGTTCAAGGTGTGGACTCGACTCTGGGAAGGGTTTGGGAATTGAATGGGGTGGCGGTGTTGTCGGGGTTTTTGATGTGATTTGGCGCGGGAAGGCGATGGTGGGAGGTTGGGAGGGCGGGTGCGGGTGGAAGGGAGGACCGGTTTGTGGGATTGAGTGTGGGCGCGTTGGTTGTGAGAGGCCGGGGTGGAGGGAGGGTAATTTTGATGGTGGAGAGCTAAGAGTTGTGGCGAAGGTAGGGATGAAGTGGATGTTGGGAGGGAGTGTGAGGTAGGTGCGAGGAGCGTGGGAGAGGGATGATTGAGATCGGGTGTATGGTGGGGCGATTGATGGTAGGAGCGTGGTGGGTGGTGGTGGACATGGAAGGAGTCGAGTGTGGGGCAGTTGAGTGGGAAGATGGGGGAGGAATTGTTGTTGTGGATGCGGGATGAGAAGAGGGTGTTGGATTCGGGGAGTGGTGTAGAGGGATGCATTGTGTGGGAGGAGTGGAGTGCGTCGTAGGAGTTTGAGATGGAAGCGAGGAGTGGAGAAGAAGTGGTGGTGGAGAAGTAGTATGATTGGGTTGGGTTAGGAGGGGAGGGTGGCCGTGAAGTTGAAGGTTGAAGGTCGAAGGTTGAGGGGTTAGGGGCGTGATTGAGTGGTGATCGTTAGGAACAAGAGTTCTTGGCAGTGGTTTCTTTAAATTGTTTGAAAGAAATCATGACCGAGTAGTTATGTGGAAATAGAGGTTTAAGAGCATTACTGCTTTTCGGTTTGTACTGAATGTAGCTGATTCTGATTATTTCATTATGATACCAGAGGTGTCGCTTAGGCTTGGCACGATTTCGTTTGTTATGTTCCTGGGCGGGCGTCGCTCGTTGCTACAGGATCCTGCTTGTTATGCAGTCTACTGATCCGTAAATGCTGGATCTCTTTTTAGTTTATTATGTTTTATTTGATTTTCAAGGAAGTTATTTTGTATGTGTTAGACTTCGTCTCGTGACTATCAGTCAATGTCCTTTTCTACGCCCCTGAATTTCGGACGCGTCCATGTACGTTGTTGTAACGGGCCCTGCGATGTTGAATATGGAGCGGGTAGTTCAAGGTGTGTTCTGATGCAATGATGATAGTTTTTGTTGTGTATTTGTTTGTTGTATTCGCTGTTTACTCTCTCGCGACTTTCGAGCTAGGATACTAAGAGCCAAGTTATGGTTGAGGTTGTAGATCGCGGCGAGTCTTCCGTTAGGACGAAAGGTTATCAGAGCAGGGTTAAGAATTGTTCTTCGTGGAGAGCTTAAGTGGTTTGATCAGTTTTTTTGTTTTGTTTTTGTTTTTGTTTTTGTTTTTTTTTGGTCTTCTCTTCTTCTTCTTCTTCTTCTTTCCATGTTCTTTCTTTCTATCGCAGTTAGAGGGCACGTCTTTGCCTCAGGGAATTTTGGTCTTGGATGACACACCTATTTACTTTTCGTGGTTCGAGTGACGCTAATGCTGTGTATGCTTCTCGCTGCCCTATTGTCACGAAACATAGAATCCCTGCGCTGTTTGTCTATTTTATTAGTACTATATCTGTTCAGTTTCAGTTTTAGTTTTAGGTTGTGTCACACTGTAGAAAATGTCCAAGTACCTGCATCGTTGTTCGCTGTGTACTAGCAATGCATGTTGAAGTCGTTTGTTAGGCTCTGGCAGAGCGTGATGGTTTCATTTTATAGAGGGGGCAACCTTGGAAGTCGTCTGTACAGGGGCTTTCAGTTAAGTTCCTCCGGATCCACTTAGCATTACTTCGGTTTCATCGCTTTCCGTCGTTTTGCACCTTTTGTTGAGACGAGTGCATATTTCGATTCTTTGATTGGTGGAAGGGACGGGCCGTTTATCTGGAGTAATGAGTGCAGAAACATCCTTGCGTCCTGTCCACTTATCATGGATATTACATTTTCTAGTTCACACTGTTACTCCGAGTACTTAATATTCGGTTAATCTTTGCCGTGACGTGCACATCGTCTTAGCAACTAGTTGGTTTTCTTGATAACGGGGTTGTTGATTAGTAAGAGGGGCCAATTTTGTATATGAACGTTAACGTAGTTTGTAACGAACTGGCTAGCGTTTTAGCACGGTTGTGAGTCACCATGAGTGTAATTTTACAAGCTCATGTTGATTTAATAATCGATATCTCTACTATACCATATACACGCTTGTCAGGAGATGATCGAGGACTTCGCCTCAAATCCCCGGTCGTAGATGTTTGAAGGATAACGCTGTACTCCAAAAAAAAGCATGGTGCGGTAATCCAACATGGAGGACAACTGCTTAAATCTCCTGTCTGATGACCGTAAGACTCCATGTCGTTCTGGTGCAAAACAATGAGCTTCTCGATGTAACTTCAATAATTTTTCTGTGTCGGTGACACCATTAGGGACGTCGTCTAGGTTTGACCTTACGACTTGTCATTGTCACACTGCGAATCTACCTGAAGTATGTGTGTGAGTGTGCTGTCGGTCTAACCCCCATTGAATTCTGATTGGGACCAGTTGAAATGCCTAAGCACGATTTCTGTTGCTAGTACATATAATGCTTGAGGTGAGATTAATACAATCACATTAGTGTGACTTAAGTCGTTGCGAACACCATCTACGAGACAAAGTTCGATCTGTTGCCAGAAAGAGGCACACAGACCTATCTGCCACCATAACAGTTAAGATTAAACAGCGTCTCGTACTTTTTAAAGCTGACTTGTGATGACCGCCTTTGCAATAGATTTTCTAACCCGCCAAATTGACCTTGTTAAAAGTTTAGACAGAGTCTATCAACAAATTGCCATTCGTGAATGATGCAATTCGTAACTAAAATACACCTCGGTGGTCCTGACAGGTGAAATATATTCACTCATGACATCAGACAAGTACGGCCTGATCCGAACCATCGCGCCAACGTGCATGCAAGTGAAATTCAGAATTTCTACTCTAGCAACAGCACAACCGCAATTACCACAGAAATATCCAACACATCGCTCAATTTTTAACTCTACCTTGATATGCAGGATTATCCAATCGAGGCGCAAATAATACTTTATATCATCCTCAACAATCTCAACAAGTTGCTCAAATGGTTTCTCAATAAAGGCAACGTGAGCAAGGATGGAGGCTCGGATTCGAAGAGTTGGTGGCGGTTTTCCCGGATACGAAGGCCCTACGCTTCCGCGTGGTCTGCGGTCGCAGCGGGTACGATGTCTGCCCTGGCATGAATGCAATGAGTCCAGCATCGGTATGTAGACGCCTCGGCGATTGCAGCGTAATTGTGTCGCAGGAGCTGAGATTTCCTTGCATGAATCTGGCGAATGGTTTCTCATTCCTCTAACGTGATGCACGTGTGACTGAGGTGCAGGGGCGATCAGGCGATGCCGCGAAGGGGCATGGCGTGAACCTGGCTCGCACTGGAGTGTTCGAACTGCTGGCGACGGTGGCAGGCCAGATACTGCAAGACGCGAGAAGCGACGATCCGAACGGCGCGAAGCAGGGTGATGGCGAAGGCGCGAGGGGCAAGTCGCAGTCTGGGATGGATTCTCAGATATCAGGGCTGGACAGCGTGAAAGACTTCACGTCCGTGGACAAACCGCAGTCGAGTGGAAGCGGGAATGCGTATGCAGGGGGCGTGACGCATGTGAGCTCGGTGGACGAGGTGTCTGTCGAGGGCAGCAACGATGGTGAAAGCGCGAGCTGTGGGGCGCGGAGTCCAGCACAGGAAGAGGATCGGGGGGCGTTTGTGAAGGATGTGGCGGTGGACGAGGGCAGCGGAGCGGTTGTACATACGAAGGGGTCGGCGATGGAAGGCGTGGTAAGTGTGGCGGCGACGATGTTGGTTGAGGATGGGATGTGGGTGGTGGAGGGTGGGGAGTGTAGGGTGCGGTAGATGCGTGTTTTGAGGTGAGCGATGTGCAGTGGATGCGGAATGCTGATGGTGAAGTTGGCGGAGGATTGCAGGTGATGGCGCCTGTGTGTGATAGTGACATGTCGAGTACGCAGGCTGGAGGCGAAGTGGGGTCGCCCCGCTGCGGTGTGAAGGAGATGGTGCAAGTTTCGGGAACGTATGGCGGAAGCAGAGAGGTGGAGCGGTATTCTACGGAGGAGGTTGGCGCAGCTGCGACGAGCGAGGGGATGGCGTGCGACACAGCAGCGGAGGAAAGGACGCACGCAGCGGTGGAGGTGGTGGGAGAAGAGATGGTGGTGGTGGAAGCGGGCGTGGGCGTGAAGCAGGCGTCATCGAAGTCGGAAGCGGTGGTGAGTGAGGCGCTGGTGTGCTCGAAGTCGATGGAGGCAGAGGGGGTGTGCGGTCCGATGGACGGAGGTGGTTGCGAGGGGTGGAAGAGGTCGGCGACGTCGGTTGCGGAGATGCAGATGCAGTGCAAGATGTCGGAGAGCGAAGAGTACGGGGAGTCGGCGGAGGTGATGGAGGAAGGCGAGGAAGGGATGGAGGATGACGATGCGGGGAGCATGGAGGTGGAGGTGGAGGTGGAGGAGAGGAAGGTGGTGGTGTCGGGGAAGAGCAAAGGGAGGGGGGGTTCGTGCGGGAGGTTGGCGGTGGCAAGTCCAGGGGTGGCGGAGTGCAAGAGCAGTCGGCCGATGGTGAGGAGGGTGATGAGCAGAGTGGAGGGGAAGTTTTACAAGAAGGAGCACGGGTATGGGACGTCGCAGCGCGTTCACCCGGAGACAATGACGACGAAGCTAGAATCGTACAGCAGGAGCTTGAAGGTGCGGAGGGCCGTGAAGGTTGCGAAGCGCAACCACGTGGGCGGGACGAGGGCGAAACGGCAGCATGCGGAGATGGAGTCGACGGATTCGGGGTGCAGCGAAGGTAGGAGGAATGCGTGGCGTGATGGTGGGGATGTTGGGGAGGGAGAGTTGTTATGGGGGTGGGCAGGATGCGGTGATTGTGTGGGGGCGTGCTGATGGTTGGTACTGGACTTCTATGAGGCTTGCGTCCAGCAAGCTAAGGAGCTCTGTACTCAGCTGCGTGGTTGCGTGGTGGGGTGCAGATTGTGGATACGGGAAGAAGTCGTACTTGGGCGGGATGGGGGCATACACTCGACAGCGGACGACGCGAGGAGCGGCGAACAAGAGGAGGAAGGTTGCGGATGGTAGCCCCAAAACCGGTCCAGATTTGCATTTGAGCAGCAGTGATTTGATGGAGCTAGAATACGAGTGTGTAGGTGGTGAGCCTCCTGCGGCTGCAGCCAAGATACGCAGTGGTATGTATGCCTTGTTTGAGCTCGAGGGAGTGTGGTGGTAGGGGCGGTGTGGGGGTGTGGGTGTGGGTGTGGGAAGGGGGTAAAATGAGCGGGAAGGAGGTGGAGACGTGCGTGCGAGGAGGAGGGGGGAGGAGTTGGGGACGGGGTGAGGAGGCGTGGGTGAGCCGTGGTGGTTGTGGAGGGTAGGGTGGGATTGGTGAGTGGAGGTGATTAGGAGATGTTGGAGGGAGGGAGCGATGGGGTGGGCGGGAGTGTGGGGCGGCGATGGATGGTTGGGGGGGGGGGGTTGGGATGGGAGATTGATGGGATGTGTGGGTGCGCGTTTGTGCAGCAAAAGCAGCGAGCGTGGCGTCGTCGCCAACGTCGAGATCGGCGAAATTGGGTTCGAAGAAGTCAGCGGAGACACATGGTACGTGGGCGGAGGTGTGGTGCGTGAGAGTGATGTTGGAATGGTGTGAAGGGGGTGGGGAGGGTGAGTGTGATGGGAAGCGGAGGTAACGGGTTGGTGTGGTGTTGGGGGGATTGTGCAGTGAAGTTGAGCATAAAGTCGTTCACGGTGCCGGAGCTGTTCGTGGATCTGCCGGAGACGGCGAGCGTGGGGAGCCTGAAGGTAAGGGGCGGGAGTGGTGGCAATTTGATGGTGGGTGAGGTTGTTGCGGAGTGGGATCGGATTGAGGATGGGACGTGGTGCGAGTGGAGTGACGGTGGTTGTGTGGTTCGGTGCGGTGGTGTTCAGAGAGCGGTGATGGACGCAGCGATGAACTTGCTGGGAGGTGGGCTTCGAGTCCGAGTGCTGATGCAAGGGAAGAAGGTGCCGGACGAGGGCGCGACGCTGTCGCAGATCGGCATTTCGCGGGAGGCGAAGGCGGAGTCGGTGGGGTTCATGTTGGAGCCGAGCCCCGTGGTGACGTCGAGCTGCGGGACGGGAGAGGATCCTCTGCTGGTTTTGTCTCGAGCCGCGAATCAGCCGGCGCCGAGGTAGGCAGGAGTGATGGATTTTGGTGGGGCATGGGATGTTAGGGAGGGTTGGGGGTGTGCGGGCGGGTGGCAGCGGGAGCGAGAGAGAGAGAGAGAGAGAGAGGGGGGTAGAGGTAGAGACGGGTGATGATGAGGAGGCGTGTGGGTTGGCGCAGGTACCCGGTGTACGGAGTAGGCGGGGTGTCGGGAATGGGAGATGGAAGCGTTCGGTGCGCGATGAAGGGGCGGGCGAGCAAGTCGAGCGGGACGGTGGTGGACCCGGATCCATCGTACGTGCCGCCGTCGGCGTCGAGCGAGCAGGAAGGGTACGTGGAGGGGAGGCGAAGCGGGGTGGCGGTGTCGGTAAGCCCGGAGGAGTCGGTGAAAGGGTGCAACAAGCACGTGAGCGAGCGGATGGCGATCTCGGCTCATCCGACGCGGGTGGCTGCAGCGGGGGCTCTGGCGGCGATACGCGCACAGGCGGATGCGAGCAGGCGTGCGCGGAACGAGGTGGAATCGGGATGCACGTCGCCAGAGAGTTGCGGGCAGGACTCGGCGGTGGGTGGATCGGGGGCGATCATCTTGCATCCCGGCGTGAGCGGGGGGGAGAACGTGGGCGGGATGGCACTGGTGCCGCTGCGGAACAAGATAGCTCGCGCTCTGGACAACGGGAAGCGACGAGTGCGGCGTCCTTTCAGCGTGCAGGAGGTGGAGGCTCTGGTGCACGCAGTGGAGAAGCTGGGGACGGGCAGGTAAATGACGAAGGGGGGTGGTAGTGTTGGGGGGGGGGGTAGAGTGGAAAGAAGTGGATGATGCGATGAGGGAATGCTGACTGGTGGTGTGGTGTGGAAGCAGGTGGCGGGATGTGAAGTTGCGGGCATTCGAGCAAGCGAAGCACAGGACGTACGTGGATTTGAAGGTGCGTTGGTTGGGGTGGATGACGACGATATGGTGGTGACAGTTGCAAGGGGAGGGGTGGTGCGGTGTGGTAGTGGGTGAGGGAATGGGCGACGGGTGAACTGATGTGTTGTGATGGGGGTGGCGGATGTGCAGGACAAGTGGAAGACGTTGGTGCACACCGCTCGCATCGCGCCTCATCAGCGGAGAGGAGAACCGGTTCCTCCGGATCTACTAGACCGGGTGACCCGCGCACATGCGTTTTGGACTGCGCATGCAGCGAAGCAGCAGGCAGATCTGGACTCGTAGGTGGAAGGGCGAGGGGTGTGGGAGGAAGGCGGAGTGGGGCTGCGTGAGAGGATGGGATGGAAGGAATGGCGTGGAGGGTGGGGGTGGAGGATGTGCAGTGGGAGGCAACGGCGAGATTGGTGGGCGTGGGGGAGGAGGGGGCGCGGGGGTGGGATGTAAATTGTAAAGATGGAGGAGGTCAGGTGTGAATTTCTAGGTTTGCGCGTGTACGATCCATTGAAAAGCGTTTAGGAGTAGGTTAAGCTGGGAGCAGCGGTTATGTTCATTCTTCGTATGGCAAAGCCCAATAAGGGACACGCGAGTCTGGATGACTGGAGCGTGCGAAGGCGGGATGCGCGCGGGGGGCGTGCGCAAGGTAGGAGAGGAGGTGGGCACGGTGACGGATAAGAGACCGTGGGGGTGGTGTGTTGAGTAGGGGGGGGAGCAGGAGATGTTGGACGGGGAGGAGCTCAGGCGCGGGAGTACATAGTGAACGGCGGTTGGCATTCGCAGCGTAGATGGGTCCCCAATTTGATGCTGTTAAACTTGTACATGGATTGGCCCCGTAGGCGAGTAGCGTAGAGCGTAGGTTGTATGTTTGGACAGTGTAGACACCGAATTTGCCGACGTGACAAGACCGCACTGTAGCGTGGGAAGGGTCCACATTAGGCGCAGTTGAGGACAGGTGGGAGAAGAGGGAGGTGGGTGGGATCTGCGCAGTTTCTTGGCAGTTGTTGTACAGGGGTTGAACCTGAGTGATAACTTAAATCGAGCAATCCGTTGGTGCGCTCAGTTCGCAGACGTTTGTGTTGGGCGTGTGATGGTGAGTTGGTGTGGTAATTGGGTGGAGTATGGCGGAAGGTAGCAGGTTGAGACAGAGGAATGGGTAAGAGATGGTGTGTTGTGGAGTGTCGTGGATTGGGGAGTGATGTGTCTTTGTTTGGCACGATCTATGTCACTGGTGTCACGTAGAATGTAATGAACTCGTCATGCAGCTGTGTGGTAGTAATGTTGACTCTGTGTTCACGTGAACGATTGGCAAGATGACGGTTTTTCTTTCACTCTATTGTGGGAGTATGTGAAATGCAACAATGACCACGGTTGACATTAGGACAATTTGGGCCACATTTTTTTGCTTCTTCGGAAGCAAGTGGTTGCCGAGATTATGCAGGTTGGTCGCAAGAATGCAGGCGGATCATTTACTGATTGGTGGTCTGGCTTGAAGTTGCCTGGCTTTTTGTTTTAGTGACGGTTCTCCTTTTATCTATTGTGGGAGAATGTGAAATGCAACAATTTATACGGCTGACATAAGGACACCGTGGGTTACATTTTTTCGCTTCTTCGGAAGCAAGTGGTTGCCCAAATTATGCAGGTTGGTCGCAGGAACGCAGGCTGATTATTTACTTATTGGTGGTCTGGCTTGAAGTTGGGTGGCTTTTTATTTCAGTGCGCGGAAGTATAGTCAGAGGAGGGTCAAATTCTTATTGATGTGGTGTGACAGAGTTGATGCGTGGTCCCAAATTTACAATATAGTTTTGTGAACCAGATCATTGATTCGTACTTACCTCGGTGTGGTTGTAGTAATTTACGATTTTAGAGGTTAGTATTTGCCCTCTTCGTGTTATGATCGTAATTTGCAATCTTGGTTTTATGCAGCAAGTCCGGCTTTCTGTGTCATTCTTTGAATTTTTTCAACATGGGTTTGAAGGAGAAGTCTGTGAGCGTTGTGAACAGTGTAACGACAAAAAACACACAGTGATAAACTGGAATTATGGGAACAGCACGAAGATGATAGGCCGGTTATTGCGGCTGTCTTGTTGCTCGTGGGTCGGCTGTCCTAGTTTGTTGCCCGGTAATGTTGTCGTTTACATTCTAGGAATCATGAGCATGTGCACGTAATGTTTACTGCAATCGTTTCTGACCGTCCACAAAAATCGTGGAAAGAGGCAATATTAATTAAGTCCATCGTTCTCTTTAGCCTTCACATATTGGATGTCAGGTGTTTTGCTCTGGAACAAAGAAGTCTCCTGCTGTAGGTGTTCCTTGGCAAGCATATTTCACTTTTCCAGTTCTTTTGATTACGCTTTGGTAGAGGCCTTTTCAGCAGATCAGCCTTGCAAGCGTATCATTGGTTGGACCGATTTCAAGCAATTGTACGAACCTCTCATCCGTGCTTTCACCAAAGAATTAGTCACAAGACGGGACATCACAACTCGAAAGAATTACCTCTAGAATGTCGAAGATTCTCAAAAGAATTCATGATCATGCTAATTGAACATCAATTATCACCGCAGTGCAGGCAAAGTTTGGTTATGTTGGACCTCAACCATAGCGAAAGTGTGATGGAAATTACTTGAACCTCATGGCTTTCATTGCTTTCAGTCGTAGTGTCAGAAAATGATTCCTCTAATAAACGAACATGCAATTTCTACTCAGCTGAAGTTGGATGGTTACACTTCTTAAGTCAGCAATGAAGCGCATTGTAAACACCACAATATAAAACTAGTGAAATGATCAAGAATAAGATGAGAAACTTGACGAGATTTCTGTATTTGCAGTTAAAAAGTCTTTACAATTGTACTACATGATGAAAATCCTATCCTCAAATTTAAACTCAAATTGTTGTCTACTCCATTATTGGTGATGTGATTCATATCTTACACGCTCGAACATGAATATGCTGTCAAGCTGAATGATTCGTATGCAATGGGCAGCTAAAATCACAGGTCCACAACAGTTGCAGCATATTAGGTCTCCAACTATTTATTTTAAGTGCCGTGTAACAAAACCTTAAGCAAAGATCCTACCAAACCCGCACAAATTATGTTGGTTAGGTGCAGAACAGTTTTGTCACAAAATCCGGCCTTACGCGCTTGAGCATCACATTCAACCATCACACTATTTGCACACTGGATATGTTACTCTTCTGAGGCCGTTTAGATGTGATTTCACGGTTTATGAACTCCACTTAAGTAATATTGAATCCTGTGAAGGTGAACATACCAATTTGGTTCAAAACATGACTCCTATCACCTAGTGTCCCTACTAGTAGAATTGTCAAATCATCCGAACATGGACATAAAACACAAGACGACCGAATTCACGGTCTGTATCAGACCTATTGGAGAACGTTACACGGATAGACCGATCAAGCTGCAAAACCAACAATGGAATCTTTGCGTTGACTCATCTCGGAGACACAATTGTCGGTTCAAGTCTGTCGTAAATTAGAACTCTCTTTATTGTGTCTTGACTCAATCATTATTTTTCTTTGTCTGTATCGAGTTCTACTAAAAATAGAGTTAAACAACAGCGTCCTAAAGAACTTTTCCTAATAATGAAGAAGGATCTGTGAAGGCTCAGACGAAATCAAATCTGAGGTGGTCAATGCAACAGAAACACGGATTCCAGATTCAGTTTTAATCTCGAAGATCTCATACCCAGGTAATGTGTAGATGCGTAGGTACCCTGACTATGCGGACCTACCATATACCCGGGCTCACTGTGCTCATTTCTCTGGAATCACGGAGAGCAATGGGAGGCGAAATCCGTGGAATTCGGTCAGTTTGGTGCGGATGAGGACGGAGGTCATTAGTCGATCCGATCGTTTCATGTAGAAAATTTCATCTCATGGCTTGTGCTGTGTGGAGTGCCAGAAATTTCATGCGGAGTCGTTTGGTGTGGCTGAGGAGTGGGTCAATAGATCTGGTGATGAATTGTCATCGTTTTAGAGCCGAGGCAATGAGGTCTGATGTCGCGATGAAATTTGAGCATTTTGTTGTAGAAGGTGTCGGAAATTAAGAGAGATTGGTTTTATGATGGTTGCTTGATCGGATAGAGGCTCGTACCGCTATGGCACATGCGATCGGGAGGGCTGTGCGGCAGCAGGCGTCTCAACGGTCGGCCTTGAATTGGTCCGGAGAAGATGGATTAGCATGTGGCGTTTGTAGCAGTGTGACCAGGAGATTTATCTCGTCCCAACCGTATGCTGTCGACGTCAATAACGTTGGCGCTGTAATCGCACCTGCACCTAGTGTAGACGGGCCATTCTTTCCACGGGCATGGAGTCATGTCTATTCACAGAATGCTTCGCAAGCTGTGGTTCCCAAGGGCAAGAGGCTCTTTCTTGTGGATACCCTAGCTCTGGTAATGTCATCGCTTTCTTCTTAGTTAAGTTGATTTCTATGCTTGCTAGACTTGGTGCTGATCTTAGGTCGGGTTTTCAGGGTTTTTTGTTTTTTTTTGTTTTTTATAATTTTAATTTTAAAGTTACGTTGCCAATGAAATCATAGACATCATCAAGTCATTTTCCTCGTCTTGACTTGGCTTGGAAATTACTTTGTACTCTGGAAATAATTTGTGATCTGAACCTTTGCAAAGTTCTGGTTAACTTATATGTGTAAACTTGATGGAGGGTTGGTACTTGCAAATTCTAAACGGCTCGTCGCCGATTTTTTAATCATTTACTCCAATACCAGGGTTTTTTCACAGAGTTTCCTCATCTGAGGATGGATAGCTCAAGGACAAATAGAACTAGCTAGATCAGAAATTTTAAGGTCGTGCTTTTTGTCGCTTACCAAGGAGTGTGAAGAATCTAATCTCTCTCCTGAAATTGCATTAACTCAAGAAGACTGTTGTTTTTTTACAGGTGAGAAGGCTAGAGTCGCAGGGCATGACGCCAAAGCAGTCGGAAGCTATTACTGCGGTCATGACAGAGGTTCTGAATGATAGCCTGGAGAACGTAGGCCAGACGTTCACTTCGGTTTATGAAATGCAGCGAGTGAGTCTTATTCTGCTCCAGTGGCCTGTTCTTAGACGATGTATTGCAGCCTTTTCTGATGAGAAACTGTTTTGCAGGGTGGTAGTTTAGGTTGTCTCGTTTACTTTTAAGACCATTTTCTTGTTAGAAAGAGTTAGGCATATCCTCATTGTGAAATGTAGCGGAAACCAGGAAAAGAAATCATCTCTTCAGCTGCCTTAAGATCATCCAGCAATTCTGTTTGTCCTGGAGCTGAAATTGTCCTTTGGCTAATAGCTCCAGATTAGGTTTATCTTGCGTTTGGAATCTTCTTGCTTGAGAATTTGGCCTGTTCTGATCTCCTTGCAATCAGGTTTATTGTGAAACTTGATTGTAGGCTTTTGCGACTGGTATGTTTTTGACATTCGAGAACTGAAATCGCGGATATTTTTATTTGTGCAGAGTGAAATGGTAGCAGAAGCTGCTCTCTCAAAGTTCAAAGGACAAATGCAAAGCTCTCAGGTGTTTCTCCTTGTTACCAATACATAATTCTTTTTTTTCAGTAGTCTCTAATGGTTTTTTTCGAGATATTTTGGTCTTCACATTAAGCTGGAGTGGGTAAACTCATTAGTTTAGGGACAAACGTTGTTGGCATTAGCCGTTGTATTTTTGTGTAGAAGGTGTATAGCAGAATACATTCGTGTACTGAATGAATTTAGATGACGATTATCTGTTAATGTTTGTCTAACTGGATGTTGGGCTATGTGGAACCTTGTGATGTAGGATCATCACTTCGCCATGTTGCAGCAGGAGTTGGAGAGACTCCGCACTGACATCGACAAGATGCGCAATGAATCCAAGTATAAAGCAGTACTTCACTCATAGAATATGATGCAAATTATACTAATCTTGTCACAGTATTTTTACTTTCTGCTATAAACTTGTGGATGACTAAGTTTTAGTCCAAATTTTCTTTTATGAGATTGTTCTTTAGTTGTGATCTTCCAGCGCGTGGCTACGTAGTGGCAGATTTACTGAAGGAGAAGTTCTCTACTCTCTTTTGAGTTATTGAAGATGTGTCTATGTCTCATTATGAATATTTTTCACTCCTCTCCCTGCAGTTATGCGATTGATAAAGTAACTTCAGGACAACGATTGGATTTAAATCTAGAGAGGGGGTAAAGTACTTCTCTTTCGATACATGTTGCTGCGAAACTTTTCCCAGATTGTTACTACTGTAGGACTTGTAACTGCTGTGCCTAGTCGAAACAGCTCCCAATTTGGAGGATTGTTTTGGATTTAACAAATTTGTCAAGTCAGATAGCTGATTTTTCATGTAGTATCAGGTTTTGATTGATAGATTTTGAGCATTTTGTTACATATATTAGTATCGTGCACAAGCACCGGTTAACATACGTTTCTTCCTGCAGGCGGATTCGGGATGAACTTTCCACTCAATCTACAGAAACGTCTAATTTGACCAACAAGCTTGACAGAGTAAACTTCCGAGACGTGCTTTAATGCTTGTGCTTTCTTTCTAAGCCTTTGAGTAGTATAATCTGTGCTTGTAACCTTGTTCTTCCTGCTCAGTGTACTTTTTTAGCCCTTTTACACCTTAGTCGTTCCTCTCTACTAACCGATTCTGAACTAAAGTCCCTCATTGGTATTCGCTCTTGTTGCTCCTGCATTGATATTTCTGTTGTTCATGCTGTGCATGCCTGTCAATCTCTCTTTGCATATAGCTTTGGATCATTTCTTCAAGGTTCTTTAGTTCATTCGTTAATTGAAAAATGCTCAGGAATGCTTTTGTGCAATTGCATTTACGTATATTCAAATACACGCTAGCATTGGTAAAAGAATATTTTCAGTAGGTCTTCCTCAATTAATTGATTTCATGAATTTGGAACAGGAGATACATTCCTTAAAGACACAGCTTGAGGCAGCTAAGTTTGATGTCATCAAGTATTGCATAGGTATCGCCCCTTTTCCTTTAAGTTCCACTTTTACAGCGTACTTCTGAAAGTGTATTTGGAATATTTAGAGAACTTCAAGCCGTTAGTAGATTGTAATTCTCAACATCTAAGTCAGTGTATTTGTTTGAGTCATCACCACCCAGGTGGTTGTGCACATTCTACACAAAGTTTTCGGCTAATTTCTTATTTTCTTTGTGGTAATATTCAGGTACTATTGCATCAGTTACAGCTGTTGGTCTTGGAATGCTGCGGCTTATCATGTGAACGGCGCGTAACCTCTCATTGCCTTCAAGCAGAATTTACTTGATTATATTTCATTGACTTCCCTTCATATAATCTCTTTCTGTTAAAAGTACAACATCCTAGCACGAAGTGCTGGACACTTAAGATTTCATCATAGTATTCATCAAGTTGTATATTGCCGGGTTCCTACGTTGATTCTGCGAAATTTAATTTTTAACAATATGTGTTGCCATCTTGATTTGTCTACAATTGTGCACCTCCTTAAGCAATGCCAGTGCAGATGAAGAAGCGCAACGTATCGTCATAATCGTCAGATCTCGTAGCTTAGAATAGTTAGGAATATGTTCACATGTACACATTTGAATCTGGAGTTTGCCTGGCCAAATTTTCAACATGGAGTTATTTGGGCAGTAATTGGTTGGTCTCCAAGAAGTGCCCTTGTGCAGTGCTTCTCTACAGTTTTTTCTGCATTACATCTTCCTAATATGGAATAGCTTTAAGCCATAATTATAAAGGATATTGTAGTAATGCAATCATTTCATTTGAATAACTCCATGGTTGATGTTATAATGTTCAATGCATTTTTAGTAACAAACTTAATGTTAGCAATTAACAAATGGTTCAATGCATTTTAAATTTTTTAGTGCAATTTTATAACTGCAATGATGCTTGTGGTTTGTTGCTCCTAATCAATTCTCTTGAATTTCTTGAATTTTTTTAGTGCATGTTATTTTAGTAAAGAGTTTAATGGTTGTAATTTATTACTAGTGGTTAATGGTAAGGCATAAATTCAAAAGTTAGAAAAGTCTAAGATTTGTTATATATGACAATTGTAATAAATATAGAAACAATAATAAATAGGATGTTTAATTTTTTTAGTTTATAGATTATTTTTTTAATACATATATATAAATATAAGTATATTTTTATAAATATTTAAATAAATTTAAATAAATTTGAATGAATAAATAAAATTTCTATAATTATTTTAAAATTACTATTAATAAATATCAAAATATGTTTTTAAAATAAAATTTCTTTTCGATTTCATGCTTGCAATAATAATAATAAAGCTTTAGCTATAAGCATATTCCAAATTGCTATACATATATCCATTATGTCTATATACAGACCCAAAGCCCCTAATTTGTTGCTTTAGACCCCTTCTACCTTGTCCTAACACAAATCCTAAACCTCCTCTCCTTCTTTGTCTGGGTGTAGGTCTTGGACATCTTCTTTGACTTCCTAGTCTTGGCTTTGGGACAAGGAAGAGAGAAAAGAAGTCTACGACCTACAATAGAACAAGGAAGAGGGAGAGGAGATATGAGACCTATGCCAGGACAAAATAAAAAGGGGAGGAGATGTGAAACCCGCACTGAGATAAAGAAGAGGGTGTTGAGAAAAGCCAATCAAAGGCTTAAGGTATTTATACAGACATAATGAGTGTGCATAAATCAATTTGAGGCCTGCTTGTAGCTTGATTTTAACAATAAATGGTATGGTAAAGCTTTCAACTTGTTGTTTATTATATTTAATACTTATATTAAAAATTTCTTCTTGTATTACAAATAATATATACATATATATATATATATATATTTATTTAAATTTAAATTTTTTATTTTAAAAATTAATTAATAGCATTGCAATGGCTCAAAAATAAAAATAAAAATAATTTTTACATGTTGTATAATATTGGATTTTTTTAATAGTCTCTTTATATTTTCTATGTTATATGTGTTTTTTTCAAGGTTTTTTTAGTTTTAGCAATATACCACCATTAATTAATTATTTTTATAGTAATAGCTTGAAAATTTTAATAACATTAAATCTTGCATGTTGCAAAAAACTATCTTTATTAGTATACCTTTTATATACATATTTATACTTCTTTATATTTTCTTGAAATTATAGAAATAATTATGGTGTATACATATTTATTTATTGAAAATTTGAAACAAATATGATGAATAGTTTGCACACACTTAGTTGTATTATATGTAATTTTTAAAAGTTTTACATTGCTTGAAATTAACTTCAAAGATTTGGTGAACTAATCCAATTCTATTTTTTCTATGCTTATCATTTGTGACCTTTTATATGAAGGATTAATTGCACATAGATTTTAAAATGTATAAATAAATTATTAATGCTTCTATATATAAATTGAATACAAGATGATTGAAAAAATATTACAATATTTTTTAATAATATAATAAAGCTTAATAAATAAAAAAATTAAATATTATATTATGAGATTTTCACTACCATATGTATTCATAAATTCGTTTAACTTTTTGAAAGTAATTGTAGCTATATGCAATAAAAACCTTCAATTAAAGCCAATCATAATTTAATTTTAAATATTCAAGCATATTAAGTTTTAGATATTATTTAACAAGGGTTTTTAGTCATATAAATATATAAAAAATCTTAAAATCAACTTTAAATAGTTATTTACTTATTGGTTTATATTGGAATTTTAAAATAAATTTTATTTAAATGTTAGTTTATTTTTAATCTTACAAAATTTTATATGTTCTTTAATTATTTATTCTACAAAATCATCTCTTAAATATGCATATTGATCTCTATATGAATAAATTCTAATAAAAATATTAGAATAATTTAATAGAGCTATTAAAATAGATACCAATTTATTATATTTAAATATAGTAAAATATTAATTATAAAATATATCCAATAATAATGTATTTTATTATATTTATTAAAAAAATATAATATTTATGTTTAATATATGAATGTCTAAATAATATAACAATGAATTTATTTTAGTATTAAAAAAATAAATCTAATAAATAATATTATCTAATAAATTTTACATATTTAATAATAATTATTATTTCTATTTTATATTATAAAACATATCTAATTCTTTAAGAAACCAAAACCATAGAAATTTATAAAAGTTCCAAATATAATAAAATAATTATATAATAATTTATCTTACAAGTTGAGTGGTATAAAATATAATAACTAATATCAAATAAAATAGTAGATTTTGAAATAAAAATTTAGTTTTAATATAAAAATAAAATATATTCAAATTTAAAATTTTAAATGAAGTTAATCATAATTGCATAAAAAAGATTATACCAAGATTAAAGTAAAAATATGTTAAATTCTTGATATCTTATTAAAAAGCTTTCTAGAAGCTTTTTAGACTTTACATGTATCTTTAAGTGATTGGTAGGTTAATAACTTTGTCATGTAGTGTACATATTGAAAACTTGCCCTATAAATTAGACATGTGTCTTATAAGTTGGACACATATCATATAGCCTATACAACATTATTATATAGTTTTTTAGTGAATAGTATATATAGAAATAATAGTGATGTCTTCTTCATTCTTATCAATGACTTTCTTGTATTCTATCTTGATTAAAGTCTTTTTATGCTTTTTGTATTTAAAAATAATTATTTTAGCTTTAATTTTATATCTATATTTTTATTATATTTTTTTCTTTTGATAATATAATAATATAATATTATTTTAAGAATTTTATTGTGATTTATGCTCTTAGTAATTTAGTAAGAATTCTAATTTGATATATTTATCTTTTTTTAGAAGTGAATGGATTTTATAACTTTTTATTATTTTGTTTCAAAGGTTGGAGATTAGACATCTTTGAATTAACATTTTTGTTTTAAAAATTGGTTGTTTTCTAAAAGAGAGTGGACTATCCTTCTTTGTAAAATTTTTCATATGATATTAGAGTTTGTGGATTATTATCTTCTAATTTATTTTGTAGATTTATTAAAGATTTTTATTATAAAGATATAAGAAAAACAAATCATAGATACTATATTTAATAGAAGTGAGAATAGATTTGTAACTATTGTACATCTTTATAAACTTGTCAATACTCTTAAAGCAAAAAGTTCATACATTATGGATATCAATCATAAAAGTGCTATTCCTACATCTATGGAAGAAATCAATAAAAAAGTCTAATGTCTATGGCAAGAAGATAAGCTATTGAGAGAAGCAAATAGATTTAAATTAAGAGTAAATCCAAAAATTCTTACTACTACAAGTATGAAGGAGAAAAATTTCAGTACTCTAGAGAAATTTAATATAATAGGATTAAAATTTCAAGGATTTATACTCCAAGTTAAATTCTATTCAAGGTTACATTCTTGAAATATCTTGAGGGATTTACTCAAGTTAGATTTATATGTGCATTTATATGTGGGAGTGTTCTCTTTTGATTTGTATCTTTGCTAGAAAAAGATTCACAATTCTTATAAGATTTAGATTTATTCTTCAAAGTATTTATAGCCATATTTAAATAAATAAATTAAAAAATGATATCAAAAATATAATTCTAATCTTTACAACATGAATCTTGATGAGTTACTATCTAAGTTACAAAATTCCAAAATCTTACTTGAAATGTAGATTAGAATAATAAAATTCTTATCAATTAATTTTGATATAGATTAATGCATAATGTAAAAGGTTTATTATTAGTAATCCAAAAAGCATGCTCATTAATTTTTTATTTTATTTTAACTATTACATGCAACAATCAATTCTGTAAATAATGCCAATAAATGTTTTTCATTAGAGAATAAAAATTATGTCATGATAATAACTTCTAAGTTTTAAAAATATTTTATTAAGATCAAAACCTATGCAAATTGATATAGCTCAATTTGAGCAATTGATACCAAAAATAAAAGACAATTAATGTTGTAAAAAATAATATTTATATTACAAAATAAAAATCATAAGATACATTAGATTTTTTTGTAAAATCAATAAGATTTACAGCAAGAAACATAACTTTGAACATGAAAAAGTTGAAAAACAAAGGCATCCAATTACATAATGAATCTTACAACTAGACAACTTTAAACTATGAAATACATATTTCATACTACTACAAAATCGCTCATACTATTTGAAACTTTCTATAGGTATTCCAACTTCAAATAATAAGTTTTAGCTTAAGCACTTTTAAACATTAGAGCTTCAACATATTTAATGAATAAAGACTTTGAAATTCAATAAAAATTTTTAATTTTAAAGAAGATGTGATAAGTCTCAAGAAAAATTATTAATAAACATTATTGTATTATAATACAATTTTAAGGTGAAAGAAAAAAATATAAATTATAGTTCAAAAAGATATACATAAAAGATATGGAGGTAATAAACACATTTAGTGTTAATTTTTTATTTTTTAAAAATACTTGTATTTACTTTTTAGGACCATAAATAAGAAAAAATAAAATATATTAAAATAAATAAATAATATATTCATCTTTAGAAAGAATTTATGAATATTTATTTTACTAAAATTACCTTAAAAAGCTAAAAATTAATAACTAAAGAAGAACAATTATAAACTTAGGTCAATCAAATCATAAAGAAAAAAAATTAATTAATTATAGTAAATTTAAGGATCTTTTATTGATAATAGAACAATGTTAGATAGAAAACTTTCTAGGATTTGATTGAGGGTTGCTTTTGAGTGATTTGGATTAATATTAAATTTCTAAG